AATCTATACTATGTACTTCTAAAAGTTTTTATGCTTTAAACACAAAAAACTCTTTTAACTTTTTTTAAAATCTTGGAACATTTAAAATGTTAGACATAGAATATTTGGAGGGACAAAGTGAAGGATAGATTAGCGTTGACACTTGTCTGTAAATTTAGCATACATATCTCGTTTAAAGAGGCTGGGAGCGTAACTTTTAACTAACCCTCCATGATAAGTTGGCAATGTTCGATTTACTACGGTACCCGGTAAAGCTTTGTCATGAATTAGATATAAATGTTTTTTGTTATTCAAACTGTTTATTTTCATTTTCGGCTTCTTTGCGAAAATGATTTGCGCATTTCTTGCTTTTAATAAGCAATAGAGAAATTTTAATAATTAAACACTTTTTGGATCAAATTAAAATTTCATTGGTACCGTTGTAAATCGGCCAATGCCGCCTTTGCAAGGAGGGTCACTTGAAATTACGCTTACAGACTCTTTTAAATACTCAATAAGAGGTATTATGTAATAATAATGTTTACTCTGTACAATATCGGGCCCTGCATTGCAACTAGGGAGAAATAAATCTTTTTACAATTTTTTGAGAGAAGGAAAAGTGGAAATTAGATTGAAAACCCAAAATAAAAGTTACAATAGTTATTGTTGGAGTGCGGAGGGGTAATGGTAATTAACAATCCTTAGAGTTGGCTGGTATTTGTAATTTTCTTCAAATTCTCATTCAATGTATAACAATGTGCGGGGTTAAAGTACATGAAGAGAGAGGGAAGGGGGAATGCAAATTTTAAATTCTTTGAAGTATGCCTGATAAAATCCTAACTGGCGCCGTAAATACAGGTATATTAAAACAGGGGGATGCCTTAAACTTAAATAAAAAATCTGATCCACATTTATAGATTTTCATCGAATTTAAATAGTGTCGGAAAGGTGCAAATTCACTTCTAGTTTGAAAGAAAATTCTCTGCTAGTCCGTCTTTTTTAATGCTTGTCGTTAACCGTAAAAAAGTGCACATCTAACATCTAATATGTCTGTCTGATTACCTGTCTTTCTGTCTATTTATCTATGTGTCATGTCGTCCAATGCATTATTTGTGTCTTAACAATCCATCTATCTGTCTATATTACCCCTCCTAAAATCAAATGGAGGTGGCTTGTTTTCTGAAGGGAGGGGGAGGTTAATATTATTTTTATACTTTCCTTGGTGGTACGGTGCTTCATGAATTCTCCTTACTCCTTAGGAATATATAATATGTAGGGCGGAGTATAATTTAACCAACAGTTGAACAAATATTAATAATTGATGTTCAAACAATTAACGTTGAAGAGAAACATTTGGAAGCCTGTTTTAGAGGTGGGAGTAGGGTGGTAGGAGGTAGGAGGTAGGAGAGGTAAATTAT